TTACTTTCTTAATTTTATTCAAACATGTTTACATGTATTTAGACAACAAGGAACGTTTTTCTTCAAATGTGACATTGTAAATAGAAAATGTATTTTCTTGGATTGAAATATATAGGGCAAATTATATTGTTAAATCAAAAAAATATATTTATATATTTAAAATATTTTTTCAAAAAATGTACCAAAAAAAAGTAAATATTTTAATATATTTTAGCAAATAGATATTTTTGGCCCTTGTAAACCTAAAAAACCTTGAAATATGTTAGCAGAATGACATGGAACACCTTTTTTACTTAAAAAGGTATGTGTACATATTATAATATTTAATATATCAAAAAATGTATTTTGGTATTTTTCTTAAATCAGTGTCAATTGACTGCAGATTTGTGACAACTTACCCTGTATAATGTGACAACACGCCCCGCTATAGACACGACATGCATTAAACATATCTCTCTCTCTCTCTTTAACAATAAAGTTGAAAAATTATATTTGTTAACATGTCCAAAAAGTCCTAGAAATATAGAGAGTGTTTCAATTAAGTTTTATCAAAGTGTGGAAATTAAAACACATTTGGAAATTATATCAATGTGTGAGGAAACTCGTTTTAATTTCGTGAATATTCATTGATTTATTCATTTACGAGGATATGAATTCAATTCAAAGTTTGCTGTTTTTTATATATATAATGTCTTGTTGCAAGTTTAATGTTGTGATGTGAAACCTATTTTCATTTGTTTCAAAATGCAGGTATATGTGCATATAAAATTATTCTTAAAGATTCTTTTTTTATCTGATTTTATAATAAATTCTATTATATAAATTCCCTTCTGGGATATAGTACGTATATGGCCATCGTTGAACATGAATATTAAGGAGCCTGTTATATTCAAGTAGTAGCTTACAGAATTGTATTTTTCTGTTTTATATCATGACTCGTATAATTTACCATCAGTGTACTTCTTATAGATCATGGCAAGTTTTAGTCAATAGGGGGCAGTGCAGCCTGTTAAATGTTTTCTTCATACAGCAGAATATGATTCATGCTTGCATACAATCTAAATACGAGCTAAACATTCTCATAACTACCTATATATCAAGAAAATACAAACTGACGTGATTATGCAGATAGATAAATATTTTGAATGACCCACGCAGAAAACAGACGGTCACTATGACAACCAATAAACTTGATGAATCCAGAGCATATTAAACAATTGTAATCGTTTAAGGGACGTTTGAGTCACATGTGGACAGTCGACACAGGCTGAATTATTCTGAATAAAAAGACAGATAAATAAAAAAGCATCAAAGGGGTCAGGGAAGATGGTGCTTTGCACAAATAAGAAACACTTTAGTTTTTTAACATTAGAGGCACAAATTTTAAGATCTATATATTTTAGAAACTATTCAGGAAAAGTGCCAGATAGATGAGCATCCACACACATGACTGAATATAAATAATCATAAACACAGACATGGTCTTAGAATGTGATCATATTTGGGAGAAAAAGCTTAATAGACATTTTTACCTATTTCCATTTGCAGATACAGTATGTCATATACAGTACAGGTTAAAAGTTTGGGTTGGTAAGATTGTTTTTAAACAAGTGTTGTATTCTCACTAAGGATTCATATTTGATCAAAAATACAGTAAAAATGTGAAAACCTATTACCATTTAAAATAAGTTTTCTATGAGAATATATTTTAAAATAAAATTTATTTCTGTGATACAAAGCTGAATTTTCAGCATCATTACTCAAGTCTTCAGTGTCATATGATCCTTCAGAAATCATTCGTTTTTTTTTGCATTTCTTATAATCAATGTTGAAAACAGTTGTGTTGCTTCATATTTTTATAGAAACCATGATATGTCATTCTTTGATTAATAACAAGTTCAAAATAACAGCATTTATTTGAAATATAAACCTTTTGTAACCTTATAAAAGTCTTTACTGTCACTTTTGACCAATGTAATGTGTCCTTCATGAATAGTATTCATTTAAAAAAAATTACTGATCCCAAACTTTTGAATGATAATGTAAGCTTTTTCTACACCAAAAAGGTACATTTTACTCCTGACTATACTACAAAAAGTTTCCTGGATAATCTCAAATCTGTTCGATACCGTCTCAGCACTGCAGCGTCGAGACATCCCATCTGCAAATGAATCAAAAAGTGCTTTATTATATATTGCCCTGGTGATATCGCCATTGTGACCTAGCAAGTGTGAGAGAAAGAGTCGACACAATGATTCTGACATCCTCTTGATGGATCAGTCCTCATTCTAGCCCGAATAAACAAGAAAAGCTCTCTCTAGAGCGGATCTGAGAGCATCAGTCTGAAGAGCTTTTCCTCGAACCTACATGTGGGCTGAGTAAGTACTTCAATGCTTTGTGAACGCAAGGGAATGAAGCTTTTTGTAGGTGAAACACCTGATATCCTGCAGCCCAGAGACACGTAAGTGACACAAAGTCGAAATGTCATTAAATAAGCTCAAATATCATCTGCTTGTCTGAAACGCTGCAGGATCTTTTTTTCTTCATCACTGTTTGAATCAGCTGGTGTTTTGGTGATTTTTAGTGGCTATATGAAATCTGTTCTCCTCAACTTCACGCAGGTGTCACTCGCAGAAAAAAAGGTCCAAAAGCTGTCAGCAGGGTGGTACCTTTTCAAAAGGTACACCTTTGCACCTTATTTACCCCCCAATGAGTGCATTTTAGTACTTCAAAGGTGTACCTATTAGTACGTAAATGGTACGTATTACACTCTAAAAAAATGCTGGGTTAAATACAACCCAGTGCTGGGTTAAATAGGGACAAACCCAGCAATTGGGTTGTTTTGACCCAGCGGTTGGGTTACTACCCAGAAGGTTGGGTTAAACGTTTAACCCAACCGCTGGGTCAAAGCAGCCCAATTGCTGGGTTTGTCCCTATTTTACTCAGCACTGGGTTGTATTTAACCCAGTTAGAGTGTAGCGTTTGTGTAGGCCTATCTTTGATAGCAATAAATGACACTTGCTTTGTTGTTTTGGATCTAATGCAAAGACGTTTAGACATTTTAAGATTGACAAGTGTTTAAAAACTGGAAAAAGCACGTGTATGCTCTGACCATATCAAATTCACTTTGATATGTTCATTTTCGAAACTTACCCGAGTTGGATCTTGTTCCGGGCAAACTGACACCTTGCCTTTGTACCATCTCTCTTGGATGGCTATGGAAAGGAAGATACCAGCATTATATCATCTGACGTGTGCAACATCCTCAGCGCTGCATCAGACGGCTGTTTTATTAAGAGCAAAATCGCTTGAACTCACGAGCAACGGTTAAACAGAAGCAGATTTTGGGATTGGGGACTCAAACACATGCATATACTTTGAGTCACACAGACTGTAGTAACCGCACACACACATCATGAGTTCAGGCAACTGTTGGTGGTCCAACAGGCACAGTATGAATGTCACCCACAAGACTAATGGAAGCGTCTCTCCCACACACACACACACACACTCCAGCAAAACACAGAACAAATCAAATCAAAAGCTACTACACCGGGCCTGCAACCACTGCAGCACTACTTAGAGACACGGATATGATCGATTATTAAACTTCTACATCGGTTTCCCTCTCAAATCTGTAATTCATCCCGATAAGTGAGCTGTTTTGCTTTTGTTTTCCGAGCACAGTCTCCATGCACACTGCAACTTGGAGCATTTACTACATTTGGTATCTCACTGGCCTCTGCCAAGGACAGAAAACATTGTGTTTAACTTTGGTCTCAAAGAACTCCCTGATTCACTCCAGCTTGGGTCATATTTTTAATGATGAATACCCCCCCCCTCACAGAAGGCTGAAGTGCTCCGCCAGTCTGACGGCTGTGTGTTTTGAGGGCTAGTTTGTCGGGGATTGGCTTTCACACACACAGGCTGAAAGGGTTACTGTTCAATCTATTCTGCGCTCGCCAGAGTGCGCGGCCGAGTGGCGCCGGCGCGTCACACACACTCTCAGCCCCCTCCAAAAAGCTCTAGACATCATCAAAAAACAGAGCTGACAACTGCCCCCACCCTACACAAAAAGCAGCACCAGCAGTGTATCTGTCACAATAATCTCAGCAATAACACGCACACACATGCACTTTCACTCCCTTGTGATCCGGGCGGACGCGCCGAACGCCGAAATGACAGGCGTGTGATTGACGCGCGTCTCTGGAACACGGAGCGTGTGAAGTCGCGTTTTCATGAGTCTCGCATCTCTTGAACTCGCAGACAGCATGTTTGCTGACTAATTAACAGTCTGGTACCGTCAGCATCAGTTCACAGGCATTGTAGAGGGCTGCAGTGTTTCTCACGCCGAGACTTTTGGACAAGAATCGGGCTCAGATTTCTGTCTCTCAGACTTTTTTTCCCCCTTCCCCTTCCCTTTCCAGAAGCAGTACGCCAGGAGCTGCTGGCTCTCCCTGCTCTATTTCACCAATGACAGTGTTTGAAAATGGCTGAATCATATTTTAGCGCTGTGTTAACATCGGCGCGCTTTTACGCACGACGTTTCCAAGCGCTCCCTGTAGAGTATTTCCACACCAAAAGCACGCAGAAGGGCCTAGATCTCATTTAGAAGCAGCACAAAATGTTCAGCATGCACGCATCTGCATTCATTCTGCAACATATGCATCATTCAGCGTTCTTAATCTTAAGAAACCAAGAGTATCTGACGGAAGACATATTCCTCAGATCCTTCAGTCCAAGTTTAACAGATTTTATTGCTAAAACCATGGCATTTACACTGACATGTTTATTATTATTATCATTAATATTAATATTCTCTTAAATTCATTTTTAGAACTTTTCAAGTAGAATTTCTGGTATATTCTATTCTCTTCTCTTTATCTACACTCACAACCGTTAAAACAATAAATAAAACATACACATTTTTTTTTACTAAAATACTATATGATTTCCAAAAAAAACAAACAAAAAAAAAAGAACAGTTCACGTGTATAATTTTCAGCCCAGCCTTTTTTTGAAATCATCATCATTATTGATATTAATATTTGTACAAAACCTCTAGGCATCGTGTTCTTCAGTCTCTATAAATAGAGTTCGAATGAGGAAGGGGAACATCTCTCTTGCGTCTTCGCAATGATTTCATAAAAATAACCACGAGCTGAAGTGCTCCTCGTGAGAATATGGTCCTGATCCTTTAACAAAAATAGCTGCATTCTTCTTCATCATCTTCTCACTTAAATATGTACATATGGAACTTCCGCCGCGCCTTCTTGCCCACCTTGACGCGCCTGCCGTACGGCGTCTCCGTCAGGTTCAGCTTCTTGAGGTCGGCGGGCATGGGTAGGCGCGGCAGGTCCGGCGGCGCGCTGGCGTTCAGCTGCGTGGGCAGGTGGATGGACATGAAGTTGGAGTCGAAGTGGCTGCCCAGCTTCTTGCGCAGCGTCTTCTCCGAGAGGTCCTGCTCGCGTGGGTCGTGCTCCGGGTCGGGGTCCTCCCTGAGGTCCGGGACGGGCAGATGCTCGCTGGGCGAGGGCCTCAGGCGCAAGTAGTGCTGGGCCGCGGCGCCGTGCGCGCACAGGAGCAACAGCAGCAGCGGCAGCGCGCGGGTGATGCTGCCCATGACTCGTCTTCTGTCTGTCTACGGAGTGGAGTTGGCCCTCACTGCGCCCTCACACACCCGCGCATAAATAGTCCGAGCGACAGCACGAGCGAGATCTTTTAATAGACGGCCGCGTGGCCCGGAATGACATGGGACATGGGCTGTTTTTCAGGGATACTCGCTCAGGTGAGGCTTGCCAAGTGCGCTTCAAAATCGTATCCTCATCGGACTTTCCTCTAGCTGAGCTGTCGGCGGGTCACCATGGCAACAGGATAGGATGGGATGGCACCGTCTCCACAGCCTGCTCGGGTTTTGTTGCGGGTTGCCACCCAAACTGGCTTTTGAAATGTCAGCGCACCCGCGGAATGGAGCGCGTCTTAGCCAGTGTTATTTTTACACACTCTCTCTCACTCTCTGAGCGCACAGGCTCCAGCCCGTCCCGCCGAACCGGCGCTGCTGAACTGGGACGAAAGGCGCTCAGTCTCTCCACGGATCCTGCAGAACTCCGCGCGGGCGAGCAAGATCGGAACGTCAAACGTGTTCCGTTCCGTTCCGCGCCTAGAATGTGTTCGGTATCAGTCCGGAATAAAATCAGACTCCTCTACACGTTCGCGTTAAGAACGTCTGCTGTATGTTCTCCAGCCTCGGCCGCGGTACCTTCATATCCCCGCTGTGTCAGAAATCCTCTTCCACAGAGTCGTCCGAAAAACTCGCCTGGTCCTGATCTGGGACAGAGGAGAATGAACGCGTCTGGAGGAGAACTCCTCTCTTTCCCAAGTTAAATATCCCCCCCCCTTCCCTCCTCCCCCTCCCCCCGCCGGCTCCATGAGCGCGCGGGGCCAGCTCACCAAGAACACTCAGTCTGACTGACAGCAGAACACACACACACATACGATGAGACCCCCCCCAGCTCTAGATTTATCACAGGCTGCTACAAAACAGCAACCAGAAAACACACATTTGGGATTTTCCATATCTTGCACATTCCGTGACACTTAACCCACCTATTATGAACGGTTACATCGTCTTGCATAAATAATGTTCAAGTGGAAACCTTATAATTCATTCATACCACATTCAAATTACACTCTTTGCTGGATGCATCAGTCATCTGGGGCTTTTGCACATATTGGCACATGAGGAGAACTCCTCTCTTTCCCAAGTTAAATATCCCCCCCCCTTCCCTCCTCCCCCTCCCCCCGCCGGCTCCATGAGCGCGCGGGGCCAGCTCACCAAGAACACTCAGTCTGACTGACAGCAGAACACACACACACATACGATGAGACCCCCCCCAGCTCTAGATTTATCACAGGCTGCTACAAAACAGCAACCAGAAAACACACATTTGGGATTTTCCATATCTTGCACATTCCGTGACACTTAACCCACCTATTATGAACGGTTACATCGTCTTGCATAAATAATGTTCAAGTGGAAACCTTATAATTCATTCATACCACATTCAAATTACACTCTTTGCTGGATGCATCAGTCATCTGGGGCTTTTGCACATATTGGCACATGATGCATATTGTGCATTTTAATGAATAATCATTTGAATGCTTTTCTTTCCCCTAATAAAGCCATTCTTTGCTAGTTTGACATGAGTTGAGCCACACACACACACACACACAGGCGACATCATTTTTCCCAAAGAAAAAGAAAAACAAAGTGAAGTGCTTAGGAATCCAACAAGTGGTCCATTAAAGTGCCTCTGGTTTGTGTGGAGGTTTGTGGATTCGGCTTCGACCTTTGCTCTTGCCACTGGCAGGAACCAACACTCATGAACTCTTGGGGTCACCAAATAAACAGCCGCAATTAAGTGTTTAAGCGGGCCACACATAGAGACGTGTCACCTCTCACGGTGCCAGAACTCAAGCTCGATGTGCAGCCTGATGTTCAAACGACACGCACAAATTCAGCACACCATCACTAGCAGCCGAGCAGCTCACAGGTGATCTCAAAGAGCAGAGTTGAACTTTTCAAACCCAAATCTGACTGTGCTTTCAAAATGCACATGTAAAACTTTCATTAAGTCATTAACAATAATATATGACCTGTCAAATTATTTGAATGTACATTCATTCATCTTTTGATCACTATTCAATAATGCTCAAAAGAAGCCATATTATTTGTTACGGTTATTAATGGGCGTGTTATTTTAAGCGTCTCTCTCTGTCCTCAAGCTGTCTGTGGTGGATTGCAGAGGCTGGAGGGATATCCCTCTGTGAGCTGTGGGCTTCATGACATGAGGAGTGTGAGGCATGTAAAGCAGGGCCCCAGCAGTCTGTGGATCGGTGGCAGACTGTCTGGCTGC